GCCCGCGGGCGGGGTTTGCGGGGGGGGCGCCCGACAGCCTGCCACTGAACGCCCGGGGTGGCTTTGGCACCTAGGCTGGAAACATTGGAACCATCCGGCCGGCTCACCCGAGGCCTCCCTTAAGTTTAGTTGCTCTGAGTCAGGAGCAGAGGCGTCAACCAGGGCCGGCCTTACCGTGAGGCGAACTGAGGCGGCCGCCTCCGGTGCCAGACTGTGTGGGGCGCGGGCGCCACTAGGACCCAGAGTGCAGAAAATTGTGTCTGCTGCTGGTGCCTGTGTATTCTCTCTGCTCTAGATGCACAGAGCTGGGGCAGTGCTGGGCTGGAGGAAGGAGGCAGAATTGAGACCTTTCAAAGTTTGGGGCCAAGTGAGGGGGCGTCATTGGAGCTCCCCGCCTCAGGTGCCAAAATGTTATGGGCCGGCCCTGACTTCAAAGGAAAGTACAAGCAACCCTGTACTAGGACGGGATGGGATCGTTTGCCACCGGCCACGTAAATGAGCAATACGTTAACGAGCAGCCATAACCGGAGGTCCACAGATTGAAACTGGACGCTGCTGCCGCCACCTTTTCGGGGAGGGTCTTTGGCCTGGGTTGTGCGCGTCAGACCCGATTATCAAGGTCCCTTGAACAGCTCTGAATCCCCAGCGACCCCAGCCCTGTCTTACCGCGGCCGTGCGGTCCGCCTCGTTTCGGCTGCTGAGAATGAAACAGGCCTCTCCGTTATCCATCCTGCAAACACAAAGGCGTCTGTGAGTCACAGGCAGCTGGTTCGTCCCACATGCACTCAGCGAGAGCATCTCCTGGCCTGCTTTCTGGGGGCTTGTGCAAGACGCCACGCGTGGGCCCTGCTAAGGGGCCGGCAATCAGGCCGCTGGGCTTTTTTCCCCACCCGTGAGAAGGCTGCTGTTTGCACCTCCGCCGCAAATTCCATTCAGCAGAACGGGAAGGGCGGGGCTGTTATAAAGGGCCATTTTGCCGTGCGTCCTGTGGTGAAGGGCTGGAGACGGCAGGGGAACATCTGCAGGGGGCGGTGTGGGGCTGTCACTCGCCTGCACGGTGGCCCCGTGGACTGCGGCTTGCATCGTGAGGGGCTGTGGGGGTGGGGGGCGGAGCCCCGGGCGCACCCCCC